AACAGTCCATGATGGTCCCATTAAAATAGTTTTGTTCACTTTTAGATTGTACTTAAATTTTTATATTCTAACTTAATTTTTAATACTTGCAATATACCTATTTATGTGGGAATTTCAAGGGTAAACACCAAATGAATTATTTCTATCATCCACACTTAAATGTTCAGGGACAGCAAATTAGCTCAGCAAACTAAAGCAACTACTTAGGCAAGTGCAGGGACCAAGATTTGATCCCAGCACCACATGCCATGCCAGCCCTGCCACCAAGGCAGGCTGAGCTGGCCAGAGTCCAGGCATAGTGGCACAAGCCTGTAATCCCAGTGCTGGGGAGGCTGAAAGCAAGATCACCAAGAACTGCATAGTGAGACCTTGTAACAACTAACTAAATAAATAAAAATGTTCAACTATATTTGTAGAATAAATGTCCAAATATAGAACTTTTAAATAGCAAATGAAGAATATATATTAAAAAAACTTTTTAGAAAATTACAAATATAGAGGCTGGGGACTTAACTAAGCAGTAAAATGCTTGCCTAGCAAGCTGGAAACTCTGGGTTCAGTCCGTGGCACCTGAAACAAAAAATAAACCTCAACTAAAAATTACATATATAATAAACCTTCCAACCTGTGAGAGTACCTCTAAGCTGTCACATTCACCACCATGAAGAAATGGTGTTCCTACTCAAGTACCTTTAAACTGTAGTTTTTATAATGGTGTACTTTTGCTATTTTAGTTGAAATTCAAAGTACCTTCTTAGTTTCATCAGAAAAGTTATAAACAAGATGTATTTTTTAGGCAGGGCAATCGAGTCTTTCTATACCATGCTACAATTTGAAATGATTTTTTTTTTAATTGGCAGTTGGTTATCTAAGTAAATAGCAAAGCTACATATCTATTTCAAAGTTTATATAAAATGATTACATACACAAAATGCAATGCTAAATCCCCAGACTACCACTGTCTAAACTGCAGTAGGTGTGCCACTTGCTTTAACGGTGTTTACTAAGCCAACATTCAGCAGTTCTGAGACGTAAGGCTTATCACTTCACAGGTACAAGCCAATAGTGCCATCCACTGTTCCTGTGAATGATCCTTCCCAAATACACATTCATAATGCACTGCAAAGAAACATTACTTTTAAATTTCATCTTCCAATATTTAAGGGAAATTTTTAAAAGTCTGAGATTCCACTGAAGATATCAAAATGCTGCATATTTCAGGACAACTAAAAAAGTAAAAAATGTTCCCACAAGTTCAAGATTGTCAATGTAAATACTTCAGTTTCACACATTTAATTATGATAAGCCTCACTTCATTCATAGGCCAAATTAGTATAGTCTTTTTTCAACAAAACAATCCTCTATACCAAGAGAAGTAATTAGAAGTATGCTCTTATTCAGCCAGAAAAGTTTTCTGCATTTAAATAACCCTGCTGTCACTGAACAAACATTTTGGATTACATAAAGTGACAAAGAAACTACATTAAAAGCTACAGGACAGATTAATATGAGTTTTTTCCGCTTGTCAAACATACACTTATAAGTACAAGTTAAAGTAGGAGACCAAATAACTGATGAACAGAATGAAGTCCTAACCTTGCAGAGTACAGTAAGTTCTCAACTTAGGAATGTGTTTCCTCCCAGGGAGACACTGGTAAATGGTACTACTTATAAGTCTCACACAGAGTTGTAGTGGATTTCTAACTGGTTGTCAACTTACTACACCCAGTTGAATTAAACTAGCATGGTGCTGGGTGCAGAGGGCCTAGCTGAGGATTGTTGCCAGCAGCACAAAAGCAGAACAGAAGTGGTCAGAACACTGTCAGGGATGCTGTCTAGAGAAGCTGTTGGAGCTGGCGGAAGCTGCCAGTTCTCTTGGGCAGTTCTGCTGGAGGACCTTGTCATGCTGGCTTTCCCGATGAACTTTTTGGAGGAGCTTTGGTCCTCACCTTGAGCATCGCTGCCTGGCTCTGGAGGGGAAGATGATGCACTACTCAACATCATGGAGAAGCTTGTGGCACTGACTTTCCTGATGGGAACTCAGCTTTCTTCATCACTAGAGGAGCTTGGGACCTCACTATTGCTGAGGATGGCTGTGGTACTTTGGGGGAGCTCTGGAGCTTACCTTGAACACTGCTTCCTAACTCCAGTTCAGGTCTCTCACCCTTCTGGCAAAGACATTCTAGCCTCCACCACTTACTTTGGGCCTTTCCAGCACAGATCCATGAAGTGGGCCTGCATGAGACTTAGTTGTAGGCTCTAGGCCTCCAAGTGAACTTATGGGACTTATGAGCTCTAGGCACTTCAGCTGGATCTTTAATATTTAGTGTATGGACAGGCTTCCTACACTTGTTGTATATAATTCTTTAGGCGACCCATTATAAAATATTATAAAATGTGTCCTCTATTATATTGTTTCCCTTGCAAAAAACCCCAAACCATGACAAGAGTTTTCTATACCTTTGACACAAATATACAATGTACAGCATAAAAAATTGAAATACACATACAAAAGTACTGTGAATAAACTATTTTTACTTTTACAGTCACTTTAAAATAGTAAGTTATACACGCTAGCTACTTCCACGATTTGTTTGCATCTGTGCATGTTCATGATGTGAGATCTGTTCATAAATGTAAAAGCCCACATCTTAAAGGTTCATAAGTCAGGAACTTACTGTAGGTCCAGCAAATTCACAGAAAAGTAACAGAAATGATGAAAAGACCTTAAGCTAGGGAAAGACCCTGAAGAATGTCAGTAGTGTGTAAGAGTAGTGGCAAACTTATGGCATACATATTGTTTTCTTTTAAAACAGAGGATATTAGGGTCGGGGAGATAGCTCAGTGGAATAAGCGCTTCCCTGGCAAGTGCAAGAGTATGAGTTCAATCCCCAGTTCTTCCAGAAAAAAAAAAAAAAAAAAAAAAAACAGGATATTAATGTATGAGTTGTTTTTTCTCAACTAAAACTTCAGTATTACAGTTTAATTGCAGTGTTGTTATGTTGTGGTAAATCAGTGGGTTTCAGGTTGCAGTTTGGGCACTCAACTCTATGAGGTTCACCATCACTGGTATAAGATATAGCAGTATCAAACTTAAGAAAAAATACATTAATGTATCAGGCTACATATACAGTAGGTAATACCATATTCATATCACAAGAAAAGGTTATGATGGAAAGAGTTATTATTTTATCTGAGCCACTTAGCTATGGCCTACAGTTCTAAACTCCAAATACAGAGCTCTGTCCAACATACTACAGACTCTGCCACCCTCTCCAGACTGGTGTCACACTCCACAATCATGACTATGATAAAGATTCAGTTCTGCACAGTTTAAGAACATGAATGACAACTTTTCATTCTGCTTAGGGAGATGCCAATCATACAAATATAGCATCTATATTTTAAAATTCAACTCACTCATGAGGACACCTATAAATTTACATTTAAAAGAATTTACTTCAGAAAATATAATATAAATTGTCTGTTAGTTTAGACTACATCACTAAGAAAGTCACTTTAGCTAGTATTTAACTAGAAAGATCACCTTCTAGAGGAAATTACTGTATATGCTGCAGCCACTTTTCATCTTTGGTCCACTCCAGAGGCACTGCTAATCTGTGTATTAAATGATAGAAATAGGTTTTAGTTTTTTTTTATGAGCAAAATCTATTTATTGGGGAAAAGAAAGCTTCCGTCCAGGAGAGGGATGGAAGAGGGGCCCAAGCAGGTGATCTCCAGGAAGCTGTCTCTTCCAGGGACTTTTATAGAAGAACACCATGCAGTGAGGCAGGTCTAAGTTGAACACGGGAAGTCGCTTAGGTGGGCATGAGGTGGGACAAAACTATGGTCAACCAATGATATTACAAGCACCATTGCTCAGGTAAAATTGATTAAATCCAGTATGAAATGAGGAATCCAGTCACATACCAAGCAGGCACAAATAAAGGACAAGGTCTCTTCCTGTTGAGGGTTGGGTTAGTGGCTCATTTGGGCTCCTTCAAGGTGATTGATACCTGTTTAGAATATCAATCCCTGATGTCCATCCCTAGAGAAGTATGTAACTATATTTGTTTCCTCTTTTGTCTTGCCGTCTGGCCTATAGGGAGTATCTATCTCTTCCAAGTTGCAAAGTTACCTTGTCTTCCATACTGTCTCCTTGAGGGCCTGGCCCTGTCTGACTGCCTATAATACTTCTATGTAATTCAGCTGGCTACAACATTCCCCCCTCTAAAGAAGTAACCCAAACTGCCATGAGGGAACCACAGGTGATGACCACTCTGGCTTCTTCAGGATGAAAAGGGTCATAATTGTAAACTGGCAGAGATACTCTCCAGAGGTTCTACATAAAGGCCCTCAATAGACACCAGGCATTTTTATTCTGGGTAGGCAAAATAGCCTTTTCAGTCTGGAGAAGACAAAGCCAAAGAAACAGTCAACATATATGGGCCTAATAATAACACCAACAGGATAATTATGAATATAGTCAAAAATGATTTTTACCGAGTAAGCAGTAATGACTTTCCCTAAAAATGACAAAGATAGGGTCCAGGGGACCTCAGCATTTTACATACTATTGATTTGATATCTAATATTTTGAATAGCTATTGAAACATTAGTAAAAGGATCGGGAATATAATAACTTTTTAAGTTTGTAATTAAAAAAGACTTGTCAGAATGTTTTTAGGGCCATTAACAGATATCTCTTAAATGTGGGGTTTAATCCCTTTTTTCAGAGATATTAACATAGTCTTCCAAGGCCACTGGGTATTGTCCCAAATAAACAGGCCAACTCCTATTACAGGGGGCACATGAATTACAAGACCTAGGGAAAACACTGAATACTCTCCAGTTTGCAAGTAGGGCCACTGGCTGGGTAACTACTGACACATCTGCATGAGCATCTAGTTTAACAGGCTTTCTCCTTATATTGGCAGCTAACACAGGTTCCCTCAGGCTGAGAAGGGAAGACCCATGACCGCCTCAATCGGAAACTTCCAATCCTTCGGTTCATGAGCGTGATGATTGGGTGTTCATGCATTATGCATGAGATGTGTTCGCCTCAAACCTTGTTGCGATGTTGGCACATTACCCGTCTGACGTAGGGAAAAAAAAAAGGAAAATTCCTCTGACTCCATCGTGAACACTTTCTTTTTTATCTCTGTAGCAGCTTTGGACAGTTTTGCTTAAAATGTCCCTTCTCTCCTTCTGGATCCAAGGAAGCATAACTTTTTCCTGTTTCCTAACTGGCCTTCATTCCTGCAGGCTACTAGTACCACCCTTCTCATTTTTTGTCTATAATTCCATTCCGTATCCTTTCTACTACAAAACACAACTGAGACCAATTCATTTCAGCAAACCCTTCTAACTTCTGCAGCCTGTGTCAGATACTTGGGGCCCACCAAGCAAGATATAACTTTTTGGTTTTAAGGCCTCCTGCAGGCAGCCCTGCCCAAGGAATGTCAGGGCACTTCCCTTGCAGTGGATTTCCTGACATAGGATTAGACTGATAGAGGAAGCATCTTTGAGGGCAATCAGACCTGCCCAAGGAAAGTGAAGAGAGCTTGCCTTGTAATAAGGCAGGAAACCCTGAGAAAGCTCAGTTCATGTGGGCTGTATAAGGTGGATAGTTAAGGCCTTAGTATGTCTCTATAGACAAAATCTAATGGATCCCAGGAAAACGAATCTAAAAGTAATCAAGCATATTTGCTACAGGTTTTTCCCTATACGATTACCTGGGTTTTGGTATCTTCTAAGAAATAAAATTTCTGAGAAATTACAGCATGTATAATAAAAGAATGAGCATTCGAGCAACAGGTAAGTTAGAAACCTTTTTAAAGGAATAGCAATTGTAACTCACTAGCTATACATAGTGCCTTTACAGAGTCAGTTTCCTGTAAGCCCCTCTACCATTAGTAAAGAGAGATCACTCCTCTATTAACTATGAGTATGAATACCTGAGTTACATTAGAAATCAACCAGATGAACTTATATACTTCTTATGAAATATATATTATTCACTCAGATTAAACCAATGTTCCATCCAGTGTTTTAGATATGACCCCCATAGTAAGCGAGGGGCACCGCAGAGGGATTTTTCCTTCTAACACTAAGGCTGAGTTTTATGTCGCAAATACAAGAAGACCTGGCTCTATCTATAGGCACAAAGCTATTGGACACTGTGTAGTCAGTGTCTTTAGAAACCTTTTATGCTGACAGGATTTTATCTGTCCTTGGGGATCTATTTTAACTAGTGAAATACCTTTTAAGTCTTATACATGAATAATGTATATTACATTTGTAAAAAATCAGTCTCCGCATCATTTTAATTAATAAGCAATCTGAACATATATTGCAGTATCTCAGTCACAGCTAAAGCAAAATGTCTTCTAAAGTCTGTTTTTATGGAGGTATGGTGACTGGAAGAAAGGTCAGGGTTGAAGAAGGACAAAGAGACCTCTGCTAATATCCAGCAACAGGCTGGGTTTTCCCCTAGTCATGATTACTCAGGGCTCCTTGTGGAAATGACAGGTAGAAATAGCAGTCCTGCCAGAGAGAGGAGATAGGCCAAGTGTCCTTTAGTCATAATACACCACTTGGGAAGCTGAGTCTAAACTCTGGGGCCTGCACTATCCTGGGCCTGCCTTAGGGTCCAGGATAGTGAATGCCTTAGGCACTTGAACTGCATGGTTCTCCTGTAGCTCACATTTACATTTCAAAACTGGACAACAATGACTTCCTCAATGCAAACAAAATCTAACCATAAGACATTTTTTACCATTTGGCCTTTTACAGTATCCTTCTAATTGTAAAATAGTGTCATAATTGATACTTTCCTCTTCATTCCATTTTGGCTCTAGGGGGTACACAGACCATGCACATGTGCAGAAAAATATTAAATGGTTCTTTTTCAGTGTGTATAGATCAAACGTCTTCCAGTGCATATTGATGCACTCTAAAGGAGTAAGAGACTTGGACTGTGAAATCCCCATAATCTGGAATGCAAAAAGACAGACTTCTGGATGTCTCCACCTTACCTCAAGGCATCCCAAGAGTAGACTACTGCACAGCAGGTAATGCTCTTGGAGAGAGGGGATACAAGATCTGAACAGCCTATCCACCCTCAAACTGGCGCGTGATTTTTTTTCTCCCGAGAATCGCATGAATCATGCGAACCATAAACTTACTCTTATTGAATATTTCTAAATATGTTACAATTGTTCTGGCAACAGTTATGTCTACAGAAGGAAGCATAACTATTGTATAAAAAGATGCATTGGAAGCAGAGCACTTTCCTTGCTGTATGGTAAAAGAGATTACCTTTGGAGGTAGACAAAAGAGATAATTGACTGGAGGAACTTTGGCCTGGGCCCTAGGGCAAAGAAATCTCCAAGACACTTGTGTTCTTCCATCTAGTTACCAAGGCAGCCTTTCTTATTAAGTCTTTGAAGCTTTCAGTTAAAACTTACATTTATCATCTAGCAATCATATTTTCTATATTGGCAAAAACACATTAAAGCTGACAAAAATCTTTTTTACTCTTAGTTAACATGTAAGACACAGGTGTAAATCACTCCTGATAGCGGCTGCAGAATGTAAATTATTGCAAGCTGTCTCAGCCTAATTTCTTTTTTTTCGGCATCTGGGATTGAATTCAGGCCCTTACATTTGCCAGGGAAGCGCTTATTCCACTGAGCCATTTCCCCGGACCCCTCAGCCTAATTTCTGAAGGAGTGATTCATTAATGGATTCTACTGCAAAGTTCAGGTAGAATTCTTAGTTTACTAAGAGAGGGAGGAGGAGAGGGGGAGGGGGGACAGGGAGACAGGGAGACAGGGGGACAGGGGGACAGGGGGACAGGGGAGAGAAAAGCACAATAGATAAGTGGAGATCTTTCAGTGGTTAAAAGCCAGTTTCTACCAAGCACCTTTAGGTATCCGCCAGAAAGTAGCCCTGGCCATGACCCCTCAGGTGTTCTCAGTTTCTATTGGCCCACACAACCAGACATCAGTCTCCAGAAAGGAATCCAGCTGTCTCTCTGGTCCACATTCCATAAGCCATTGGCTTCAGTGGGGATTCACCAAAGAACAGGTGGGGAAATCTGTCCTTTGCTTCAAACAGTGGCAGCTGCTCTAAGAGCATTTAGTAGCTGGCATAGTAATCACTCTTTGTCCAAGTTCTACAAGGGACAGTTAACAGCCTGAACAAGATTACCTAGGGCTTTACAATAAAGGTTTTAAAGTCTGTGACTTAGCTCTTATGCACCCAAATGATATCTGGACCTAGGAGAAAAGGTTGGAGATCCTCTCTCATACTAAATGTGTTTTGATCCCACAAATGTGCTGCTTTTGGAGCTAGCTCCTTCTGGGGTCACCCAGAAGTCTGTTCTCTCCACCATGTCTCAGGTTTAGCCTCCTGAAAGAGACCTGCCCAGAAAACTAAGCCAGGACACAGCTTTTATACATGTCCTCCTGGATGGGCATAGTCCTCTTTGTCTCATCTGACCCAGAGATGCAGTATGTGCCCTTTCTCTAAAATGACCTCCCTGTCTTTGGCATTAACACTCATTTTTTTAAGGGCTTCATTCAGTTGGAACAGTCTAGCGTTTTCCTAATTTTACATGCCTCTAAAAAAGAAAGTATAAAAGGGTAGGAAAATTAGGAGTAAGGCCAAAGACAGGAAACTGAAACAGAGCAGACCTGACATGTCCTCTAGCATGTAGAGGAGGAATCAGAGCCAGTCTGTCCCAGTGAAACCTGTCCTCCAAGTCTTTGAGAATGGTTGCTGACCTACTGTCATTTAGTTGGCAAAAGGAATCCCATGTTTCATATACAGGCATATAGTCTAAGTCTGAGCTGGATTTAAAAGTCCCATTTAAAAAATAAAATAAAATAACAGTTCCATTTTACATAAGTTCACATAAAATCCACTAGGAAGCTAACTAACATTACTCTCTAGCACTATTGTCTAAAGTCAAGCAAGGAATGGTAGTACATTTAGCATCTAGTTCAAATGCAACATATGCAAGTACAACACAGTCATAAAAATGTCCCATTAGAGAAATATCATAACCTTTAACATTTCCATGTTTTAACTTACATTTTGACCAACATTTTAACAAAACCATATAAAAGACAAAGCATAAGCAATTTTAAGCAATTATGGGAAGGCTATGAGACAAGACTAATAAAGCAAAGCATGAACAATATTATAAGCAATGGGCAAAGACATATCAACATTTGAAGCATAAAAATTTGTTACCTAAGCAAGTCCCAACCTGGAATTTATGAAAGAAAAGCAAACACATAACTGTGTTCAGGCTCTCTGCTGAGCGTCGCCACGGCCTCCTGCTTCAACAGTGCTTGACCAGAGCGGGCCCTGGCCCAACCTCGCCACACCGCCTTGCCCAGCCTCACCCGCCGCCATGATGACCGTCTTGGCCTCGCAAGTGCGCCAGAACTACCACCAGGACACCGAGGCCGCCATCAACCACCAGATCAACCTGGAGCTCTATGCCTCCTACGTCTACCTGTCCATGTCTTACTACTTTGACCGCGATGATGTGGCTTTGAAGAACTTCGCCAAATACTTTCTTCACCAATCCCATGAGGAGAGAGAACATGCTGAGAAGTTGATGAAGCTGCAGAACCAGCACCAGATCTTCCTTCAGGATATCAAGAAACCAGACCTTGCCGACTGGGAGAATGGGCTGGATGCGATGGAGTGCGCGCTGCACTTGGATAAGAGTGTGAATCAGTCCCTCCTGGAGCTGCACAAGCTGGACACTGATAAGAACGCCCCCCACCTGTCTGACTTCATCAAGACACACTACTTGGATGAGCAGCTGAAGGCCATCAAAGAGCTGGGTGACCATGTGATCAACCTGCGCAAGATGGGAGCCCCCAGTCTGGCATAGAGGACTACCTCTTTGACAAGCATACCCTGGGGGACAGTGACAATGAGAACTAATGTCACCAAGACAGCACATGCATGTTGGGGCTACCTTAACCTTTCTATAAACTGTACCAGAACATCTACTTAAGTTCTTTAATTCTTCAAATAAAGAAATTTGGTACCTGGCAAAAACAAAAACAAACTCTCT